GTTTATTGACTTTAATTCGTGGAAGAGAGTATGCTGCAAGACATTTTCATTTTTGAGAATCAAATAAAAAAGTAAATGAGAAGGGAAAAGAATCAGGAGCAATAAAACATACAAGATATCTCAAATTTGAGATGAGAGCTTACTATGCATGCAGGAAAAGTTAAAGACTTGAATTTTAGTGGCTCTCTAGTCATTGGTAACCACTAGATGGATTTTGCCTCCTTAATTTATACCTAGGGGAAAAAGAAGCCACAGGCAGTTGCTTAAAATAAAAATAAATAAAAAAAATAATCCCATTGACCCAAGCTGAACATATTTCCATTTTTCACTTCAGTGGTCAAGCCAGAAAATCAATTGTGTTCACAACTCTATTTCAACACTCTTAGTCCACTGTTCTGAAGCAGAATGGGAGAGGCGCCATTCTGCTGCGTGCAGAGGAACATTCTAGTTTCAGGTTTTTCTTCTGACAGCATTACACAGATCTAGTTGAGACAAACAGATGAGGCAAATAAGCTGATTTATTGCAATTTGAAAGCTAGCAGTCTCCCATACTTAGGCATAGCAGTAAAGCTGCTAGCAGGGGACTGTCAGCATTAAGATATCAAGATTGTAAAGAGACTCCAGATTGAGCTGATGGCAGTTGATACTTGATGTCAGGAGCTCAGCTGTGAACAGACAGCATCTGTAACAATGCTGAAGATGTTGAGGGCACAAATTCATACATTATCCTGCCACTTAGTTTGCCCCAGCTCACTCTTCTGTTGCAAGCAGCTGGAAAAACACTATAGGCTCCAGAGAGCAAGGCAGTAAAAAATCCTCTCTGCTTTGACCAAGAATTGACGGACAGGTTGTAGAATATCCCTCTGCAGTGTGGAGTACTGGGAGCTGCAACAGCGATGAGATTTGTCACCACAGCAGCTTTGTCCATGTTATTTTTTTGTTACGACTGACACAAAAAGAAGGAAGCTGCTAGCAAGGAAGTGAATGCACTAGCCTCAGTGGATTCAGTAGGGGCAGAATTCTTCACCTTGTCAAGGTGAGGCTCTTTCCAAAATAATAATAAAATAATTTATTAGCTAGGATGGGGCTGTTAACATTAGACTGGAAAAAGAGACAAGGGAGAGCAGCTGGAAGCAGCATTAGAGGGGTTTGGCAGGAGCATGCATCTACTGCATGTTTTGTAGAGACACAGACCATGAGGGAGGGCACATCCAGCAGTAACTCAGTAGATGTCCTGAGAAACGAAGGCCAAACCTTGTGTTCACAGCTTCTGCTGCCAGCCTGCCCTCTGTGCCACGTGGCCACTGCTCCCTGGCAGCTACCAACAGCTCAGGCAAGAAGGCCCCAGTCTCCTTGTTGGTTTGGTGTTCTGGATTTATCTGATGCAGCCTTCCCAAAGGGTAGGCTCCTAAGCACTAAGAACCCATCAACAGTTCTACCTGCTCAGCAAGCAAAGCTGCTTGCCTATCACCAGAATCTGACTTCACCAGCAATGTCTCTAGTATCTTCTGATGGATATACTAAGCTCCTCACTAATGGTACCTGTTCTATTGAGGCTGATTGCCATGATTTAATACAGGCTTGGGCAGGAAGGCTGGAATATGTTAAATTACAGTAATTAAGGCTTGTTCTTGAACAAGCAATGAATAACACTGCATTGCAATTGTAAAATACATTGTATTTTACAATTTATATTTTACATAAAATTTGAACTTATACTGGAGCTTAGGGGGTAGGTCTTTTAGGAAAACCTTGCAGAAGTTTAGTCAGTTTTCACACTGTTAATCCTAGAGATGGACTGGTTTTCATTAAAGGGAATGAAAATGTTGTTGAATAGTTACAGCAAATGGCTTTCCATGCTGAAGAGAAAATAAATTATCTAACATGAGGTATTGTGTTAGCCATACAGAACTGTCAAACAAAAGAAGGGACTGAAAATAAAAGGGTCCAGGAAAAAGAAGTAGTATCTACCTGCACTTTTAAAAGAGAGAGTGGCTAATTAGAAAGAGAAAAACATATACTTAAAACATGATTATTGTTCTTGCATCCAAAGACACCCTCAGATGAAGAGCAAAAGGGCAGTCCTAACCAGAAGCCCCAGGGAGCCTAAAAGCAGTGAGCCAAAGGAAACCTTTCTCTCAGTGCCTGTGGGGAACAGAACCTGCTCTGTAACAGATGGTCCCTGTCTGCCTTCTGACATCTTTAGCAGCTTTAAGATGAGGCACGTCTGTGCTCGACTTTCCTTTATTCTCTGCCTTCTCTAACAACATGACCACGTGTAAACAGCTCTCTTTGGAATAGAAGTTCATCCAGACAGACCTCCAGGAATGCTGTTGTAACAAGGCACACAAGGCTTTACACTACAATGGTTAAGACTTCAGATTTACAGCCATGCAGAGACATTACAGTTTGATACAAATAATGAAAATTCATTCTCATATGGGCTGAGTTTGGATATTCACAGCTCCACCTGGTTCTGCCTAATCATGAATGAATAAGCAGTTGCCCTGTTACAAAAGAACCAGCCAGCAGCATGGGTCAGTGAGGAGAGAGGGCAAACTTCTGACTACAAATGGTAGGAACAGGCTTCAGCAAGACCCCATGTACTGCAGTCTGAAAGAACGCACTTCTTCATTTTGGGTAGACAGTTTTTCTATGACAGAGATACACTGAGCAACTATCTAAACTGTTCTCTGACTAATCAGTGACAGCTCCCAGCAAACGTTCCATCCCTCAGCAGCCTTCAAGATAGGTAGCTTCACAGCTTTACATGTAGGAAGTGCAATTCCAGAGACAAAAAAGAGCCATTGGGTCTATGTGCCAGACAAGGGGAGCAACATTCAGCCCTCCTCAGGTCCTGTTAAGGAATGTTGTCAGAGTTCTTAGTCCAATTCACCTACTTCACAACACAGCATTAAATACATTTGTGGAACCAACAGCATAAGTGCTGTGTCTTGGTACCTGAGCTATGGTCTGAACCCATCACACAGTGCAAATGCCCACCAGCACAGGCTGCTCTGCCAGGTGTCAGACCCCATCTTTATTCCCTCGCTCTTCAGCAAGTTGCAAACAATTAGAAATTATTTCATATTTACACTTTCCTGTCTTTCCTCTAAGTTTAACTATCCAGCTCCCACCTTCCTTGTGATAATGAGTTTCAAACACGTGGTTATAGCTAACTGATATTCAACAACTGCTGCAAATATATCAAAGATTTTCATAATTTCATCTCTGACAGCAAACAACTAAATTCCTTTCATAATAGAAGAGACCATGGAAAACTGAACTCCTAGAGTCCCTCATTAATCCCTGTTGTAACCTGATGCACTTTCACATTACATCAGGAAATACACCTGATCTATGACATTACTCAGTTTTGAAGTGACTGAAGAGTGCCATTTTTGTCATCCTGTGAAAAGCCCCTCAGTTTCCAGGCATCCTCATCTCAACAGAATGACAATGTCAAGGGCTAAGTTTCAAATATGCTACAGCTCCAAGTTGACCAGCTCTTTTATACAATTTACATGAAGGTCAGATGCAGTTGTCACTCCTGATGTGTATTTTGCACAGTGATTTTCTGAGCCAAGAAGAAATTCACTAGAGTACGCTGCTAAACTGAGAAAAATAACGTGAGAGAATGGGAAGAGGCCACGTAAAAAATGAGACGATCAGGTCAGAAGCCCCAGTACATTTTGATTGCGCTGGCATACTTGATCCAACTTTTATAACAGCCTTACCAGAGAAGCATTTTTCCTGTTTGGATTGCATTAAGAAGTGGAATTAGCTTCATAAATATAAATCAGTTAAGTATAATGCAATATTTATGCCTGACTCTTTCTCCTTTAGGATTTTTTCTCCTCTAGGATTCCATTTAAAAGGGAATAACAAGAAAACCTAACACTCTCAGAAAGAGAGTGGGTTTACAATTTACGCTAATTAATTTTCCTATTGACACAAAACTAAACTCCTCAGTTTATTTGATTGCAATGTGAAGAATAAAAAAAAAGAAAGCAGATTAAACTAAATAGATTTTTTTCTGCAACTGGTAATGTTGTAAGAGAAATCACTATGCTTCACCAACCACATTAACTCTCATTTATTCATTCCTCCACTGCCCAGCATGCAGGCCACTGCCAAAACCAATCCTAACTCCCAAATCCCCACAGAGGTATAAGCAAGAAAAATAGTTCAATTTATTTGAAGCTGTGAAAGGTTCCAATCAAGATCAAGAGTCATTATTCTAGGCACTACATAAAAAAAAAAAAAAAAAAAAAAAAACCAACAGCCCATCCCTGACCAGTCATTCTGTTACTAAAAAAATTGTTTGGAATTTTCCAAATTAAAAACAAACAAACAAACAAACCAACGACAAACCCTTTCACCCAAACCTTACCATTTGTCTAATTCCACATATCTTCATTGAGGAGACCGTACCAAATTCATCATTGTTCTAACTTACTGGGTTCCAATGTTGCTACATCAAAACCAAAACCTGATTCCACTGAGGTCCATTTCATAACTATTCATCAAGGATTTGCAAATATGACCTGAAATTTTCTTCCAACTTTTGCTGACTCAAATTCTTTTTGGCATTCAAGCAGATTAATTTTCTCTCTTCCCATTTCTAACACGTATGCCTTGTCTCATTTGGGCAGTAGTAAAGGTTCTATACAGCTAGAGCCAATACACTGTGTTATGTCTGATTATTTTAGAGAGGCAGAAAACATTTGAAGACAACTAACTCCATGGACCTACTCAGGCTGTCAGTTTTGTCCTTTTCTTCAAAGTATTTACTCTTCCACACTACAATTTAATTATTCAGTTGGCATTTTTATACTGTTAATAGAATTTGCCCATCATATTGATTAGCTTACTTAGTTCAGCTGGATTTACACAGTAAATAAGATTTCTTTGCAATTTAAAAATCCCCTTGCTCTAGTGACTAAATTCCTCTTCCCCCCCCCCCTCCTAATTTTAGTAGAAACAGAAGCACTAATTACCTGCCCTTATGTCAATGTTCCCCCAGCAGCATCCTCCAGTACTGAACTGCTGGTTCCTTCACTGTTGTCATCGTTAGCACTGGAGTATTCTTATAAGGAAGACTTCATTCAGGCAGCCTCAGGTTCTTACTTCTGTAAAAGAAAAATAATAGTTTCTGAATTAGAATCTGGATGTAGTCTGTCCTTAATGAGACAGTAGCATGATTAGAAATTGAGATATTTTTCCATTTCCCTTCCACACGTTTTAGTACACATTTCCATGAAGCAAATGTAGAGGCTTGTCCTGAGACGCGTGCTCTGGCTGTTCATAAAAAAATGTTAATTTGTTATCTCTGGTTTGCAGCTTTCTCAGAATCATAAAATCCTAATTCAGTTTTCCTTATTTTAATGGTTTTTCCCAATACAGTTTTCAGGCAGACATGGAAGCTAGATTTATTCATGTCTGGCAACAGTGGTGATGCTCTAGCCCTCAACTAAGGACAGACATCAACAACATCTCCAAAAAAAGGAGAATGTTATGGTTTAAGCTACAAGACCGAATTCCTCAGCTTAAAATCTATTTCTCTCATCTTATCTTGGCACAAGAATACACTGTGTTGTTTTTTTAATTTGCTGGGATGGCTGTTTAACAGTTGAGATATTTATTTGATTGAGATAGCAGTAAGAAAGCAACTCTACACCACTGCTTTTCTATATTAAGTAATTGCTTTAGTTGCTGCGTTGCTTTGTATCTTCCCCATTAGTTAAGGTGCTGAGAATATTTTTCAAGAGTTGCCTTTCCTACTCCTCATGCAATATCATTTTTGGGATAGCATTTAAATGACTTGGGACAGGAAGGCTATGAAATATATTTGGTGCTGACAGGTTATTGAGAAGGGCAATCTGAGAAAGTTCAGCAGACAAAGGAGAAGTCCAAGACTTCCTCCCATGAAAGGTGACACAATGAAGGGGACAAGGACAGAGATGTGTGAGGAGATGAGAAGTAAGGTAATTTTACCTGCTGACAGGTGAGGATGACAAAATCAGATGGCATAAGACAACACAGAAATTCTCCTTTCTCATATACAAAACATTGCTGGTGACAGTAAAAAGATGTACTGCTGAGACATTTGGCTGGAAAGAGAACCCAGCTGACCACACTTAAGCACCCTTGAGCTTTGCAAGAGGACTAAATCCTAATTTAAACCCGAACAGCTGTGTGATGCAAGTTGTGAAGAACTGGTCGTGCAGCAATTTGCTCAGTGCTGGCACAGCTGGTGAGTCTCACTGAAAAATAGGACATACTACCACATGCTGCCCATCCTGGGAGGATAACTATGCTCTTCTCTGGTCTGACAGGAGGTTAGAGAGACTGTCTAAGGTCAAAGAGCTGCCTATTATCCCTACAGTGCTCAGTGCACCACAGCTGACTGCATTTCAATTTAGCCAGTGCTAAACCCTGAGCGTTCCTTACATATCAGCGTGCAAGTAAACATGCTCCTGTGTGTATCATAGAATCACAACATCATAGAATCATCAACATTGGAAAAGATGTCTAAAATCACATACACGGGAGTCAATGTTAATCCCAAACTGCTGCCAAATTCCAAATTACCATCTTGTTAAAATGCCACACAGTCTATACAGCACGCCCTGTGTTTTTCAGCATGGGAGCAAAAGGGTTAATCTGAATGGTTTAGTTAAATTGCATTAAGTCATTATTCAGATATTTGTATTCAGAATTAAAAAAGCCTTGATTCAATTTCTTTACCTGACTTCCAAAGCAATCTAAGTTAAAATCAAATTAAAGACATTTTATTTCTGAATGTGAGCATGTACACTGAATTTAACACAATTTAACCAGATTTCCTTACCAGTGACTGAGGCAGAGAAGGAATTGCCACAGCCTTCAAACGAAGTCAAGACAGCTTTCTCTAACAACACTCAATTTCTTCAATAGTTAAACTCTCTTATGCATTTAGGCAGGGCAGAAGGAAGTGGCAATGTATATGCTTCACGCCATAACGTTATATAATGCCATCCAATTCCAGAGGCAGACGTTGGACTATTTAGACTCCATCCCATATGGCAAGACAAATGCTCTCCCAGTTTATTATTAATAGCGCTATGACAACACTGTGACTCAGCACCAGAAATCATTATTTTAAATATCTTCCACCAGAACTGCATTGGCAGGAGCTTTTTTTCACAGAAGGTCCCAACTAAAGCCTTCCACCCAGTGCTGAGATTATCACAGTGATGGAACAACCTGGCGATCCACTTCCACATTACAATAAATGTGTGTCCTAACCTTCAAGGAGTTGGTATAGCATTTTGAATTATAGATCAAGGAAAAAAAATTTAATGGGTAAATGTTAAAATCATTAAAGCGGTTTTTCATTGCAAATAAAGAGTGAATGACTCATCCCAAGTCAGCTATCAGATGTATCAGGTTAGGTTTTTCCTCCCAAAGTACGCATAAATCTCTTCAGTCGCGTCTCTTGTCATCTTTTTGTCAAAAGAAATTTCGCATCACTTCCCTCCATGCATTACTCCCCCGGCTTCTGAAAACATTCCACTTTAAAATTTTATCACAGAGATTTTTTTTTTCCTTCTGGGCCTCGTGGAGCGTTATGCTGTGAAAAGCACCAAATAAGAAGATTCCATCAAAGAGGAAAAAAAAAAAAAAAAGAGCCTTAATACAGTTAGTAAAAAAAAAAATATTTTCGTAGAATGACTGAACAACCTTGATATTTTTCTGCTGTGAACCTACGTTCATTTTCACCCCCAAGTCCAATTGAAGCTGCGGAGTTTGATGGGCATTTTCCCTCATTAGAGCTCATGTGACACTCTCAGAGAAGCAAATAGATGGAGCTGTCACCCAGGCAGACTCCTGCGACTGTGTTGTCGTGACATCTCTTCCCCAGCCACAAATACCTCCTTCATTAGTTCACAGTAAATATGGCTATAGCAAAAGACTGTTAGAGAAAAACAAACAAAAAAAAAAAACCACCCAAGAGGCAGGCACCCATTTTAAAAGGCTTAGGAGTTTCAGCTACTCTGTGCATTTCTCCACCTAATGTTTTGCATATGCTGCAGTAAGCAGGTTGGTGGGGAGATCAAGAGCAGCTTATCTTATTAAATGCACCTAACTAGGAGCTGACAGCACAAGGAAGATCCTCTGCATTTGTTAAAGCAAGCATGTGACGTGAGCGTAAGACAAACAAATGCAACCCCTTCTCTACCTCTAGTTGTTAAATGTTATTGGAAAAGCATTTCCAACTGCAGATATAGTTGTATGAATTCCAGCATGTACTCTCTTCATCTAACTGCATCCATGTATAAGGAGCCAGCACTTTTCACTGGGGCTAGATGACAGAGAGGTGTAATGAGCATTTTCTGCTGCATTTCAGTAGAAATTGAGTTTGAGGCCTTGGGAAAGATATCCCCTGTCAACTGTGAGTCTTATAGAATGTTAGCCAGCAAAATGCACGAAATGATGAAAGCAGAATCACTTTCTTAATTGTGCCAAAATGTTTATATGAAGTTGGACATGAATTTGCGACTGTCTAACATTCCCAATAGTTCAGTGATTGCCTTCTGATACTGTTTTCTGGGATTATTTTTTTAAAGCAAATTGAAATTAGACTGTGAAGCAACAGCCAGCAGAGGCTTACCTATGGACCGCTGCCCCATGCCACCATGCAGAGCCTTCCCACAGAGAAGGCAATGGAGTTACAACAGTGGCAGCCTGCTGTCTTCTCTGGGAGCCATTGTTAAAACTGCACGAGAAATATTTGGTTTCAGTTCTCACAGATACTTGCAGACAAAAGAAGCAATGAACTCAGTTCTCTTGAGCTGCCTTCTGTGCCTCACCTTGATGTCTGCGCCCCTCTCTACTGCATTTTCCTGCTCCTCACTTCTTCTCCTTAGGAGTTTCAACCTTAACTCACGCACTATTATCAAGGAAGATTAATTCCTACTTCCACTTGTTCATTACCTCTGTTCATTCTTTAACTCTCCTCACATCCCAATTGCTATCCCAGGGTGTTAATCCCTGCCACATCCCTTTGGGTCTCTATGAGATGACCCTTTTCCATGCTGCCTGCACTGTGGTTTGGAAGGAAGCTCGCTCCCATTTAGACAACATTCTGTCACTGCATAAATGCAGGCATGGAGTCTTCATAGCTTTTCTATCTTCCATGAATTTTTTGACACTGAGTTTGAGACAATTTTAGGAGTGGGAGTATTGTACATCATATTTGGCATACAAGAGCTGCTGGCTGTAACTCAGCTGAAACCTCCTACATTTCACAGGTGGTTTGTGAGCTGCAGATGGAAAACTTCTTTGTAACAAACTTTAAGAAATCATGCAACCTTATTCATACTTAAATAACACTTGATTTTAACTGCTTCCTCACCTTTCTGAATACTGTAGAATTGCCTTCAACTTGAAGGATTTTTAAAAAATGATGTCGTCTTACTTTTTGACTGTCTTCTTTCTCACTGCTACCAAGCTATTTCTTTCATTATTTTCTTTCCTACTCTCCTTAGCACTGCTGCAGAGAAACCAGGTCCATGGTTGGCAGTAGGCACACAGACCAAGTATGGACGGGAAGGGGATTCCGCAAAGAGAAATGCAACTTGCCAGGACAGACCAGAAGAGCAGAGGAAGAGGTATGAATGAAGACACATATTTCCCACAGTTTAATCAGACATGAATTCAGCCTTTTTCACAAAATTACCTGATAATGTCTTTCACAAACTGCTAAGCTGCCAGTTTTCCCTGTCCACATTGAATGCTAGCTGGGTACGGCTGTTAAGGAGCTCTTCCAGTAACTTTTCTCTAACAAGTCCCCTTGCAACATCACTGTTAAGCTTTCCATCCTGATGCCCAGTGGACTGTTCTGCTAGACTCCTGTTTCCAATTACTGAATTAAAGTAAGAGCTGCTGAAAATTTAAAACCTGTCATCTAACAAGCACTGATACCACTGCCTGTAACATCAATTAAAAAAAAATAAAGCGTATTCCAGACTGCCCTGGAGAGGGGCATGACTGAATACAGAACTGTTGTTCACCAAACTCTGCAACACCAGAATGACAAGTACTCAAGCCATGTCTTTTGTCTACAAAATATGTAGACCAAAGAGGTACTCGGTTACAAGCTAGTACTTTTTAAAAAAAAATGGTTTAGGCAAGTTCATGGGCAGTAAGTCCAAAGCCAGACACTAAAAAGAGTATCAACAGTCATGACTGTGGATACTGGGGATGTACAAGAAGAGTGGACTGCACAAAGCAGTGAGGTTCATATACTTTCGTCAAGTAACTGCTTTTGTTGCCACCACTGAAGCTGAATCCTGAACCACACTGAGTCCCAGGATACACGGCCCTGCAGGCACTGAGGTTCTTACTAGGCAGTTCAATATCAAAGACAGACAGAAAGTCTGGAGGGAGACATGAAGGAGAAATTTATCTGTCCAAGTAAAGCTGAAATGATGGTTTAAGTACTCTGATAGGTATTTCCCCTCCTTTGCAACCAGCGTACAACTCAGTAATGAGAGAATTACAACAGAGAAATGTGTTCTGGCATAGTTTACTGTAGCTCTGTGATCCAACCGCGTACCAAGAGCTGAGGAAAGCACGGAGGATCTGAGCTGTGATCCTACAGAGCCTTCTGCATGTCACTACTGCTGCTGTGCTCAGAGGCTGAGAGTCTCTCATCTTAACTCTCTGGTGGAAATCAGAAGCAACTTCCTTCATAGACCATGGACATAAACCCCTCTAAAGAGTGATAAGAATCAGGCCCATCACAATTTTGTGGTGGTTTTTTTGTTGGCTGTTTTTTGTTTTTCAAGTTGGAGGAAGTTAATCTCAAATAGCTGTTCTTGCCTGAGTAAGCTCTGCTGAATCTGGAGGTGATTTACTCTTTCCCATTAAGAATATTTCTCTAATGCATTTATTACCTTGACACATGCTGGCTATTAAGCTACAGTATGCCTAGAGGACAGCGTCTCAAGACTTACCTATCCATTTCTTAAGCTCTACTTTTTCACTAAAATTGCAATAGCCTTTTCTCTTCCCAGCATAAACTTAGCTTTTTTTTTTTTTATTGCCTTGCCCCTCCTCCCCCCCCAACCAGCTCATTTGCAACACGGATTGCAGTCAGCTAAAACGGAAGGCAAGAAGAAAATGCCAAACTGTGAGAAAAGTTCTTCAAACTGACTTTTCAGATGTACTCGTTATCAACTGGTAACTGTTGCATTAAATAAAGAGCTGACTGAGCAAAAAGAAAATTAAAAATTTATATCAAGTCCTATTGCTTTCATTCACTTTTACCAGACTTATGTATTCAAACACTAACAAGGACATAAAATAATGAAAATTATATGCACAACAGATCAAACAGTGCATCCATTGCAATTATTTTATAATTAACCCCTGCTGGGACAGCAGTCAGAGTCAGTTAGCAGCTTGAAATCTATTGTTAGTGAAGGAGAAACTAAGTGAGAATAGGATGCAGAAGGTGTTTATTTCTGTACCTTGGACATTTCTCCTCAGTGGCAGCACATGCCCCATGAAATCAGAGAAACAGGTTTGCAACCAGCAGAGAGATGACAGTATGTAGGTGCTCATCTCTGTGGTTTCAAAGTCCAGCAGCATTCCAAGACTATTCACAGGCTTATCACTTACCAAAACCTACTACTACCAGTATTCCCATAATTTCTAAATATTCTTTCTTCAAAATTAATTCCATACAGTCTAGGTAATATGGAAAGCATAGGCCTTGGTCTGGTTTCCACAAGGAAATGAAAATAATACCTCTGCTATTTAACCTGTTTCTGGGCAGTTGCAACCTTTCATTACATAGCTATTGCAAACAGGCTATTTAAGTCTGGAGTTATCATTGTGTCCATGTTACTTAAGAGGCTGTAATTTTTTTTTATTTTTTTATTTTTTAAACTGATTCCAGCATTTCTCACTATTAAAAACAGAAAATGTTAACAAATACTAATTCAGCTCCCATTAAGACTATAGCAAAAACACAGAAGAAAAGATGTAGAAGTTACTGCCAGTTGTTGTTGGGACTTAATAGAAAAAAAGAGCCAAATAAAGTTCAAAACAAAAACCACAGCAGTAATGGCACAGGCTACATCTTCAAGAAAGCCTTACAGCTACAGCTCACAAACAGAAGTTTAGAGGACTTATTTTTGCACATGCTGTATACATCTACTTAAATAAAACATTCATCCATGTGTAATTGTGTGGCATAGTGATTTTTCTTTTTCACTTACAATGTTGAAAAGTTTAAATTGTATGAATGGAGATGTGAATTTTAGACTCACCGAGTTCTCTACTCGTAGGCCATAGATTTAAACTTTCTATATAGAGAACGAGTTCATTTTGCATCCTTATCACACACATGAAACAACTGCTAATGTGACAACCTCAGCAAACTGACTTGGTTTTGAAGAATTTAGTTATAATTTCCGTTACATGCAGAGATCATCTGGGCCCTCCGTATAGTGCAGATTTCCTTATAATGCAAAAGTATGGCTGAAATTTTCAATTGAATCCTAATTTGTCTTGCCACACAAAAATAGCATGCATTGCAATTAATATGCGTTTATGCATAGAGCACAAATCCATTAATGGACTGTGTTTAGGTGAGCTAAAGGAAGTGAACTAAGATCACTTTAAATCTTCTTATATGCTTTTTGCTGATGCCATGACAGCAAGGAATTAAACATGCAAGGAACTTTTATTGAACTGTCCAGATCCTGTTTATAGTCAAAGTGCCCACTTTATCATGCCACTCCTGACATTGCAGAAAAATAGATAACAGCTAAATCAGAGACTGTCAAACTGAAGTAAGTGTCAGGAATTAAATGGTATTGCTGAATAAAAGCTATAATTGAAGTGCACAGAAGTCCCTCTAAAACAGTGCAGGAAACTTTAGATGACATTGCAGAGACATCAAAAGACCCTGATACAGCAATAGAATTGAGCAGATTGTTTGGGCAAAATATCATCATTTGAGCTTTCTTGCGCCTTATTGCACACAGACATCATTGGGGACTCTGCAGAGCACTGAATTACTATTTACAGCATTTTGACCTTGAGCATTGGAGTTTCATTAATTCAGCCCATTCAGTGGAACAGATAGACAGTTATGAGGTCAATGAAAATTTACAACAGATTTTTGTATCCAAAGAGGAAAAAAAAAAATAGCGCCTAGCACAGATCCTAAAAAGAGGCAACTGTCCATAAAACACCTGGGCTAACAAAGAGCAGTCCTTTCTCCACAGCTGTTAGGACGCAATGTTATTGATCAAGCATTCTAAGAGGTTTATCACCCTTTCAGAGTCCTTGTGATACTCTAATTACGTGATGTAGATTAGAATCTCTAAAAAAGGTAAGTTTCTTGGAGATGGAATTTAGTCACCCTCAAGCATGTCTTATTAACTAAGTGACAAAGAATTGCAAGCAGGAGTTTAAAATTCAGTATTCATTCAGAAGAAACCAATTTGAGAATTTCAAATACTCCACTAACAGCAAGAGATTGGCAGTATACAGCCTGATTATTTCACATCCTAAAGCTTTTCTTCACCCCTACATTTATAGCGACATCTGCAAGCGCTAATAGAGTTCTCTCTAGGATGGGGTTCATTAAGTCAAAGTACTCGAGCACAATGGGCAATGAAAGACTGAATTTGTTTGTGCTCATAACAATTGACAATGATGCTAATATACACGAGTACTTCATTGCTTCGTGCAGCATATTCAACATCTGGAGATTCTGCTCTAGAGTTCTATGCAATCAGTATAAAACTGTAAATAAATACTTGGAAACGTGCAGATCTCAAATACATACCTGAAACCTGCTTATCATTAACTGGAATTGCCCATAAGCAACTCAGAGAATCAATGGAAGAGAAAAATAACGAGTATTTTTATTACTGTGGGCAGTTAACAACTCAGCACAGTACAGTTCCATTTTCCTACGCATGGTATCACTGATACAACCATTTGGGACCTGATTCAATACTGGGAAAGTCAGTGTGCGTTTTCCATTGATTCCTAGAATTCAAGAGCTCTCTCCTCAAAGTATTTTGATTAGAAAGATGAGAACCAACGTAAGCTATTAGGCATTTACTTACATTGACAAAAAGCATCAAAGGATTTCAAGTAGAGAGTAAGAACAAAGGTCCATCTTGCCCCTGGCTCTGATAGCAGCTGACTGAGGAACCAGATAGGTCCAGCACACCATTACATCCACACACACTGTGAAAATCCAACCATTTCAGATACTGCTGTATCATTCATCTAGGAAGAAATTTTTACAATTATTTTTAGGTACTCAGTGAGTTCATTATAAAATATCTCTTTAAAATGTAATATATCCTCCGTTGAACATTTGTAGAAATAGGAATTGATCTATCAGTTGTTACCCAGGTGAGCAAGCTTACTTGGGCTTGTTGCAGGCCGGTTTTGTTCAGCAGAACTACTCAGAGTGAAATTCTGGCAAGACTCAAAGTCTTGATCTATCAGCTCAGCTCTTCACTGAAATACAGCCATCTCTAGAGTAAAGCATGATGAATATTTAACAGCACAGGGAAATACTACACTGCAGATTTAAGGCTCAGTCTGGCAAATACTTACACAAGAGTATATTTTCTTCACGCAGCCAAAGAAAAATACTTATGTAAACATACTCATTGGCACAAGATTGGAGAATATGGGCCCCAGAGGGGATGGAACCTCACCAAAACAGAGAAATCCGGAGGTGATCAGCACTGCTACAGCTGGAACCAAAACTACTCAGGAATATCCTGAATCAGGAACAGCAACACCAACCCAACACTGCTACTTTCCAATGAATCTGATCAAGCACTTCTGTTGGCCATAGAATCATAGAATATCCTGAGATGAAAGGGACCCACGAGGATCACCATGTCCAACTCCTAACCAGGCTGCAGGAACACCTGCGCATGAACAAAGAGGACAAGCAGCAGCAGCTAAAGCCCAATTGGCCATACAGTCACAGGGCCTATCAGGATTCAAATACCCCTTTTGGCTTCCTTTCTCTCCCAAAAGTTGGTAAAATCTTCCAAATAATCTGAACTGCCTGACACTTGAAAAAGCTGTGCTCATGTACATTTTTCACAGATTAGGTAAGATCTCGTGTACATGTGCAGTGTTTGGATATCTAACCTGGTATATTTCCCATTCTTCTGTGTAAATTGTAATCTCTTCTTCATTTCAGCACTATAAAAAACACCTGTCTGGCACATCTTTTCAGAACACATTTCCCTATTTCACTCTTTATGAAGATCTTCGATAAGAAGATATCTGTAAACCATTTCTTCTAAAACTGGATTTTGCATTTAATAATGCATGTGGAACAGGAATAGAAGGAAATGTGTTAATGGATTCCTTTATTTAATCACATAAACTTAATTCAGCCTCCTCAGTGCACAGAAATGGTTTTTTTTTTATTTCTCTCACGTGTCTATGCAGCTCATTCAACTATAAGGTCTCTTTAATCTGGAAAACTCACTGACATGAAAGGATAGACGTATTAAATTTGGTTGCCTTACATCGTATACTCACTGCAGTTCTTGCACAGGCAGACACAGCAGACCAAAGTTATTTGAACCAGCCTGAAAAGGCAGATTATGTTATATCACTTTGGAGCAGCAATACCTTTTACTGCACCGCAATTAGGTAATCTAAAATCATAATGGCTCAGCTGCAGCAATTCTAATTCATTTTCTATAGGGCTATTTGTTTTGGTTTGATTTTGTGGTTTATTTTGTGTGTGTGTTTTTTTTTTGTTTTTTTTTTTGTTTTTTTTTTTTAATGTGTGAATTCTCATTTCTGACTTGTTTGAGACAGGACTCTTTCTGTGAAAGGACAGTTATTTTAAGGAGCTGAAACTTTAAAGAAAGTAGATGTCAATTCAAATTGTCTTTCCAACCCACACTCAGAAACTGTCATTTTTCTACTGATGGAAGACATTTGGCCCTCCAGCAAAGGAAGAATAAAAAACCTGATATTTCTAAAGCTGCGTGAAACATCTAGGTACACAATTTCCATTTTAATTTATCTGAAGCTACAGACAGGTGAATAAGTAAAAACCTACACCAAACCAACAGCATATCCTTAAGCTGTGAGCAGACCCTGTACTAAAGCATAGCTATCTGTAATAATGATCAGTCGAGCCCTGCTGTAAACAATTGCTCTGGGCAGAGGTTTAAATTATTTTGATGTTGTGTCATATATTTACATTTTGAGAAACATGAGGTAACTCTTCGATAACTTTATTACTATTCCTTGAAAGGAAAATTGATGGATGCTTTCTATACAGGTTTATATATATATATATATATACACATACACACAGTTAAGCTATTATCATATTTCGCTCAGAATCCAAAAGGGAACTCCTTGAATCAACACATCCAAAAGGCCAAATGATTCTTCTAGTACTAGTCCTCAGTAATGTCTGTGAGAACTTGTGACAAGTTTCTGTCAACTCACTGGTAACAGGAAGGGCATTTGGGAACAGGATACCTTCCTCAAAGAGAAACAAAGAGAAGCTTCCAGCCTGGGTATACAGGTCACAGCTCAGAATGCAGTTACGTGTTCATTCTGTACAGTCACGCTATGCATTTTTTCAAGGCTTTGCACAGTTACTTCTGTTAAATTCTTAACAAATAACATTTTTCTCTTCTTGTCAAACTGTCTTCTGTAGTGGCTTTTAAACCACCACAGAGATTTATTGGAGAAGCTAGAAACCATTTCCATAGGGATGCCTCATTCCTTGTCTTTTTTCCTATAATATTTTCTCTAAAGTTTTTCATCTCCTACACCTACTATTTTTTTTTTACTCCTATTTTTCACATCAAAAATTCTTCCTTTGAACACCAGACACCAGCTCCTCAATAATTCCACCACTCATTTATATTTCTAGAGAAGGTTGCTAGGAGCATCCCTTGCCCCATTCTTGGTTTTATAAAGAATATGAAACAATGAAATCCCAAGAGAGCCAAGACTGAAAGGGCAAATGAATGAGGAGAGCTCAAAAGATCATGTAAACCTTCCTTCCACAACCTAATATATCTGGACATGTCACATTAAACAAAACCTTTGAACTTTTAGACATTCATGCATTGAATACACAGAAAGTGTTCTCTCTGTATTTTCAAGCACTTGGAAAAATATTCTCAACATTTACCATTTAAAAAAAAAAAAATCAACATGCACTTTAGTTTCTTTTTTTTATAATACAAAGGAATTGTGTTGATGAACATTTCCCTTGAAATTTTTAATGTGTTTCTTCAGCCAATATTCTGCCAATATTTTATAATACCTACCATTGAGTGACAGATGTGCACTACGCAGTAAAGGAATGGGGATAAAGGAAAATGCAGCTCCTGAAAATATTTGAAACAGATTCAGTGGGGTGCTCCTGGGGCTCAACTTGCCTCTATTTTTGTGCATAATTACCTAAAATATTTGGGGCACTTATTTAGGAATTCCTTTTGAGTACCAAAAAACCTTTCCCTCACACTGTGAAGGTATAACCTGCTGGGGGCAAACTTCTGTAGAACATTTTGACTTCTTAATTTCTTTGGTATCTCATTTAAACGTTGAGGATCACACCCACAGGATGAATGCTTCCAACCCACTCTAGGAAACTATCCCTCCTTCTCCTGTTCCATGTAAGAATCTCCCCACTGCTTACAGCTAGTAGATTTCTATAAAGAAGGAATATTTTCAGCCAACAAGTTCAATTTATGCAGGTTAAACTCCTACCTCTCAAGTAAGGCCATGTAAATGTTTGCCATATGGCATATACTGAAGGGTATCATGGCTTCCAGTTTAATGATCATTCTTTTTTTTTCTAGCTGGAGCCTCTTCATAACATTGAGACTATTTTACATGTGTAGCTCAGTTCTGCAAGTGTGCTGAAACCCGCTACTCTGTTCATGTGTGATACTTCTGTCCAAAAAAATCACAATGAGAAATATGGTAATTTTAATTACATCTTAAAGAGGCAAGCTGGGAAGTTGTCCCATCAATTCTCAGCATTAAAACTTTGCCTCTTCCCTGAACTTAAGGCATTGCTTGATACATGCAAAACTAAAAAGTTTATAATGGCAGAATAACTGTATTTCTTAGGAAGAGGAGTTTGCATCTTATCAATTCATACCCAAAAATGAATCCACCAAGATCCACATATCGTCCATATGCACAAGAAGGTAATAAAGGAAAGGAATAGAGAGAACCCTCTCTGCAGGCTTCTCCTTTTGAGGAAGACAGTGAAGGAAACTTGTCACCAATATCTGCTTTCCAATGATGCAAAACAATACTGGTAAACAACGGCACGGTACTCCCATAAATAGTGCTATGGCAGCAGTTTGTCCTCACAAGATTGCAATGCAGCCCCTGCGACTGCATCCCTTCTGCCTTATGCTAGAATGAGAAGTATCAAAGCCACATATCTTAGAGAAAATGTCCTTAAAAGTCTTAAATATATATATATGAAATTTAAAAAGAGACACATTTCTAAGTCCAGGTTTACCATTTTGTAACTCAAGTTCACCATTAGAGCTTTCCATTCACCTGCCTTGACTTCCAGAATTATTTAACGATAAATCTCAATTCTGGAACTTGATATGGTAATTCAGTTTTAGCTGAACCTATGTAAAATCTATGGGATTGATGGTTATACCATTTCTCCTCCATGTATTTGTTCTCAAAAAGTCATTTACACATTAAAAAGCCTCTTTCTTCGTATCTTTACCACTTCTGTGTCATGGTATAACAGCCTATTTCTTGTGCTAAAATTGATTACACTATAGAAAGAGAGAAAGTTGAAAGCTTCTGATAATGGGAATACACGTCTAAAAACATGTTCACAGCAAGTCCATCATCTAAACAATAGACATTCTCATTTTCTAGCAGAAGCCAGATTCATCCATAGTAAGATGAAAAGTACCACCTGAATAGGACCTGCAGTCTAATTAAATGAATATATTAAAAGTTTCTGGTTTTGACAGGTAAGAAGTAGCTGTCATTATGCTCAGCACCCTGTGAATTAAACTGCTGTCCTTCATTATTCCAAAAGATTATTATTGCTCTGTTTCTTGTGGGTGCAGTGAGCTAGAACAGCAGAGATAATAGGTTATTATAGGAAAATTTGGCTTTGACATTTATATGATAAATTTGAAGTCAATTAGATGAAAAATACCCCATTAGATAAAGTGAGTGTACCAATTACTGCACTGAAGAGCTACTGCTA